TGCAAAAACTAGACTGCAATATACAGTTGGCCCTCTGTATCCAGGGGTTCTCCTTCCATGGATTCAACCATGGATCAAAAATATTTGAGAAAAAAAGTTACCCTGTAGTCAATGTGTAATATATAGTTAGGCCTAAATTGGTTTGTCTGCACTGAACACGTACAGACTTTTCTTGTCATTATTACCTAAATAATACAGTATAAATACTATTTATACAGTATTTACATTGTATTAGGCATTATAAGTAATCTAGAGATGATTTAAAGTATATGGGAGGATATCCATGGGTTACATGCAAATATTACACCATTTTATATAAAGGACATGGACATCTTCAGATTTTGGTATCTGCAGGGGACCCTGGAACCAATCACCCACACATACCAAGGGATGACTATATATCATTCTGAACATAGCATTTTTTACTTAAATGATATATCCTGGCAATTCTCCACAATCAATACAGTAAGAACTTCTATTTTGTTTTTTTCCCATCGGCTGCATGTTTATTCAACCAATCCCCTATTACTGAACACTTGAGAACCACTCTAATCTTTTGTTAAGACAAACAATGCCTCATTTTGCACTAATATAGGCGTATCTGTAGGATAATTTTCTAGAAATGGGATATACAAGTCAAAGGTAACACATTTGTGATTTTAGCAAACATTATCAAATGCCTCTTCATAGGGGTTCTATCATTTTGCATTCCTACCAGCAATGTATGAGAGTGCCTATTTCCCCTGATTTTCACCATAAAAATAGTGTCAAACATCTGGATGTCTACAAATCTGTTAGGTAAGATCTGGTACCTAACTACAGTTTCATTGTGAATTTCTCTTATTATGAGATTGAGCATCTTTTCGTTTGAAGATTATTTTAATTTCCTTTTCCATACATGTCTTTTGCCCATTTTTCTATTAAGTTGTTCATCTTTTCTTCTTTCTAGAAGTTCTTTACATATTAAAGAGATTAGCCATTTGTCTTTAATAGGCATTACCAATATTTTTTCCCTCCAACTTGTCATTCGATTTTGCTTACAATAAAATACAATGAACTCAACTATGGCATAAATATGATTAAAAAAATAATCAGCAATTTGAACTAGGATAGAGATCAAATTTCCCAGAATGACATAATCTTGAATTCAATTCTTAAAATATAGGCTTAGTCAAATAGCTTCATTAAGCAGCTTCCTTACAAAAAGAGAACCTCTCAATTGCTGGCTTTCTAAAGTGGGAAGAGCAAATTTTTATAAAAAAAGATTATGACGTGCATATGCAACCATGTGTATATATGCACACTGGCAGTGGGATAATAAAAAACAGGAAGAAGAATGGAAAAAGATATAAAAGGGTTGAGTAAAGAAGAGGAGCAAACACAGGGAGATAGATAATATGACTGAATAAGAAAGAGGCAGAGAGAGAGTTCCAAAGCAGGAAAGATATCTAAGATGATCCACAAAATTCAGGGATAATTAAAGGAGAATAATGCCATGCTATCACATTGTACCCCAATCTAGGTTAAAGAGTAAGTATACTTTATCCATTTAAATACATGATTACCTATTATGTACATGGAATAGTGCTAAGATCAATTTATTTGAGAAAACAAGATATTTAATTGCAGAAAGGCAATATAGAAGTTTAAAAATAGAATAATACACCAAAAATAACTACTTTCTTGTTAGAATGAAACAGGAGCCATTATATTTGAATTCAGTGAGTCTTGAGCACTGTAGTAAAAGATTATGTAAAACATGAATAAGTCATTTAAAGAAAAAACTCAAAGAAAAAGTATTTTCAGTAGATAGGGCAAACACTACAACTACTTTTATGTAGAGAAGTCTAAAAACAATAACCTTATCTCTTGGCTTTTTTTGAAAAGCAGTACTGCTACTGGGCATTTTACAAACTTTGTTAAAAGGTGAGTAATTCAAAAATCCAAGCTGGCTAGGCTGAGAAAGATCTTCCACAATGAGCCTTTCAGACCTTGAGGGATTAGAGGCATAATCGGAGTTTTCACTTGGACTAACACTAGAGAAAAAAGAAAAAATGCATTTTAGGTCTTAAATAATTTAAGTATTCACTCCAAATTTCTATACATTAAATAAGAAAACAGAAAGAAAAGTCCTTGAAATGCTACTGGAAATCAGAGTCACAGTTATGAATGTAAGGCAATGTTTCAACTCAATTTTTAAATAAATTACAGTTAGTTTTAAAATACTCATCTATGTATTTCTAGAGCCTCTATGCTAGAATTACTTAAGATTTAAAAAAAGTCATAATAGATTAATTAAGCCTAAAACATATATTTCAGAGTCCTAATATACAAGTGTTTTCTTAATATACAGATGATTCTCTATTTTTTTTCCTAAATTGAGATAGTCAAAATTTTAGAACATTTTCTATTCTAGAGACATATTAGAAACACAATAATAATGAAAATTCATACATTTTACCTTCATCAAGGTAAGTCATATCTAAATTCTATATGTGATTTTATTTACCTAGATAACTCTTCCCCTAAACTCTGCAAACTCCATTCTGTTATCTTCAGTTCATGTCTCAAGGAAGCAACATTTGCAAGCAAACTTTCTTCTTCATTGTCTTTATTACAGCAGTCTGATGAATTAGATTCCATTTCTTAAAAAAATAAATGAATTTATTGTACCTTGCAGGAAAGAACCTGTAGTGTCAGTCAAAATACTCTAACACTAACAGAATTTAACTCATTCTTTTCTACTTAGAAGTTAACTCATTATTTTTCTATTTCAAATGTGAAATCTTTCAAGATGATCTAAAATAAAGCTCTCTGCAGTGTAAAGCCATATGGAAAGTTCTATAGAATTTCAATGAATTGATTTTTCATTATAGCCTGGGTCTAGTTATCATTGGACTAAGTATTTTTATTCCATGTTAAAGATGGAGAAACTAATAAGACAAATTAACGTACTCAAGGTCACACAAACTGTAAATAATGGAACCAAGATTTGAAACTAAGTTATCAGGATCCAAAGACCTTTTAATTATATCACACTGCAATTTTTTTTTCTTATTATAAATCAATTTCAGTATGAGGTTTTGAACTTACAGAATCACATTATAAGCTCTGGATGTGTGATAAAATTGGTATCATTACAGTCATTCATATTTTCCTAAAAGCAATTTATTACCAGATAAAGATTATCCCCTTCTTCCATTCATAATAGTTATAAAATGCTAAAAGCACACACATTCACATCATAACCACAGAGATCAAAATGACACATGGCAGGTTAACTCATAGAAATACATGAAGAGAAGCTTTTGTTTCTTTGACCAAAGTGTATCTCTAGGGTAGTGAAATTCTCTACTAAATACCTTTGCACATAAAAATCGTTATAAGGGGCCACATTTTATTAATAATGATCAATAAATATAATTATTATGTATTAAATGAAGGCTTTATCATTTCTACTACTCCTGTAGATCTTTCCAAATAATCTTAAAATTACATTCCTCTTTCAGATCCCCTTTACCTTTGTCATTGCAGCATCTCTTTCATGACCCTTCTAGAATTCTGGCCACATCTCAAGCTGCAAAAGGCTGAGTCCTGTGTATTATGTTCAGGATTGAAAGGCACTGAGGGAAACTCAGTATTTTCAGTGAATAAATTATTCTTAAACTGCCCTTCCGTCCCCTCATCCAGCTAATATAGTATGACAAATTTATTCCCTACTCAAAATTTCTCAGATGTGAGGAAATTAAAAAGAAAACTCTCACCCTATTGAAGTAAACTCTGACAGGAAAGTGAGACATTGCGTAATCTTAGAGAAAATGTTTCTACCCTCTTTCCCCTTTTTTCCCCAAATTTGCTTCCGCTTACGTGAGAACTCTCCCAGACAAAAGTCAATGGATCAAGTCCCCATTCTGCTTTATCTCTCAACATCTCTAGCTTCCTACAGGACGGTGAAGGATAAAAGGTTAAATTTAGGTAAATTCTAAAATGCCATTAGATATTATAGTTCAACTAAATCAGGTTTTATCTCCAACGTCTTCTTACCTGTCAAAAGGGTAAGAATTCTCTAACCCTTTTGACGTATCAGTGGATACGTTTGATAGTCATATATATTTTTTTTTACAGTGGGCCATTTATTGTCAAATGAAGATTCCTCCCCACTTCGGTAATCAAAAAACTCTATCTTCATTGTCTGTACATATGTGAAAAAGCACATCGTGCTACCTACAGGCCCTGACGTCATCTCTTGGCCCAAATAATACGTTTGTAGCTGTACAAACGCACACCCATCACAAAGAAGAACAAGTGTTCTTTATATCCCCGTGTGTAACAGGATGGACTGTAGTCGAGAAAGATTCCTCATGTTGGAAGGTCACAGCTTTATATTAATGACAGAAATGATCCTACGTTCATTTGGAAGAAGTTGAGGCAAACAAGACATCTTTCTCTCGATTTTTCATTTAAATACGATCCTGCAGAGCAGGCGTGCGCAGCACAGGCGATAACCAGACGAAGGGCGTCCAAGGATGCCTGGAGGGAAAGGAACAACACTGCCCCACGTAGGCCTGTTTCCACCCTCCAGAGAGCAGTCGCTCACCACCCAAGTCATAGCTGGGAGAGAGACCCACCCGACGACAGAAGCCGCCGCGTTCTCGCCTGCGTTCGGAAGCCTCGGACCCTCTCTCCGGCCCCGGGCGTGGAACCATCAGATACAACACGCGCGGAGCTGGCGAACTCGAGTAGCAATGAATTCGAACCGCCGCGGGAGCCGTTAGGAACGCACCGCCCCGGCCGCAGCCCCGCCCCCCGTCCTGGCTCTGCGTGGGGCGACGCAAAAGGCGCGGTGCCTTTCGGGGATCGTGGTCTGAAAGCGTGTCCGAGCCCGCTCGCTGGGAACTACATTTCCCACAATTAACCGCACGACGCCCATTGGTGTGGGAGAAGCCGTGAAAACTTGCGACTGTTCGGGTGTGAGGCGGACGGATAGTGAGGGGGCCGAGACAGGAGGGTGCGGAAAGGGACTGCTGGCCCCGCCCTCAGTTCCTACCCTTCAGAGGTCCGGGTTTCCCCCTTTGAGCGAGCGTTTACCGCCGCAGCCACCATCTGGGGTTTCTTCAGGCTCCAGGTTTCACTGCCAACCACGAGGAGTCCAGGGAGGAAAAAAGGAGCCTAGGTGCCAGTAACCCACACATCTCACGCCTTTTCCTGCCCGAGATCGCCCCGGCAGGGATGGGCGACAAGATCTGGACGCCCTTCCCGGTGCTGCTTCTGGCCGCTCTGCCCCTAGTGCTGCTGCCGGGGGTGGCCGGCTTCTTGCACTCCTTAGACAGCGACTTCACGTTTACCCTTCCGGCGGGTCAGAAGGAGTGTTTCTACCAGCCCATGCCCCTGAAGGCCTCGCTGGAGATCGAGTACCAAGTAAGTGCGGAGGGCGAGCCAACACCCTTCCTTTAGCCCAGCTGCACAGCGTTGTCGCCTCTCACCCGCTTAGAAACTTCTTGTGGCCGGCAGGGATGATGAAAGGCGAGGGCCACCCGAGAAGCTGGCTAGCTTCGCGCAGGCGCGCGTGGCTGGCCTCTCGGTGGGGCCGGGGACCCAGTAGTTAGGCGGAACTTGGAACTGACCATTCCTCTCCCCTTTCCTCCCGTCGGAATGAGGCCAGCTTTAGTGATGTCGTTGGTGTTTGTTTCATAATTCGCGCATCGCTTTGCTAGCCAGTACACACTCCAATACTGCGAATTTCACATTACAGGACTGAGACACATTCTCCTTCATCACTGGACAGGATGATGATACTTTATTTACCCCACCACCTTCACCCAACCTCAGTATTATAAATCTTCACTGTCACTGCTTCAGTTAAGGATTTTCGAATTGTGACCATGAGATTATCACTAAATCCGATTTTGGAATATTGTGAATGGGGCTGTTGACTTTTTCAGTGGTATATTTTCTTATCAGTTGAAGCATTTCTCCCATATTGTTTCCTTTTTAGTGTCTGCATAATATTACATGGGAGATTGTCTTAATTTATGTAATCATTCTGGCAGAGGGTAATTTCTTAGAAGAAATCTTGTTAGTTCCGACACAGCTAATTTCGATGTTACTAGGTAGCACTGCAAATAAGATGTGTTGGTGCGGTTCATCTTTTAATTTTCTTTTCAAGTTAATTTATAATCAGATGTTAATTTTTAAAAGTTGATATAGAGAATCTTTTTCAGTAACAGGTACTGCCACATATAGAGCAAAATAGTTATGTAGACTGTTCATTCGAAGGGACTTTGGAAGTAGATTATTTATCAACTTACAAGGTAAGCATAAAGTATCTAAAGTCACATAGTGAGCAAAACTTAGGCCAGAACTCAACGTTTCTTAATTTTCAGTCCAGTTCAAAAGTTCACTTACTGAACAGTTACCATGTGCCTTTAATTGGGGGTGGGGGAGAATACAAACAAAACAAAGAGTCCCTGTTTTCAAGGATCTTAATATTTAAAGAGTACTGGCTCATAAACAGGTAATTTCAATAAAATATGTTTAAGTGCTGTTAGAGGAGGGCCAGGTCTCTGGGCTTTCAGAAAAGGATTCCGGTGAAAATAAATTTGAATCTAGAAAGATGCCTACATGAGAAAAACATGCAAGGAAGGGGGGACATTTCAGAAGGAACAAAATGAGTAGACGGTTCTGAAAATGCACAGTGTGAGTGTTTTGGCAGTGAGCAGTACGTTATAGACACTACAAGTGCTGAGTTTTTATTAGACTTTAGAAAGTCTAGAGTGGAAGTAAAAGAAAAAGATTAGAGACATCAGGAATGCTGGATCATGATCTTAGCCTAGTGCCCATGCTAAGTAGCTTTGCCTTTATTCTATGCAGGGGCCATTGAAGATTTGCACAGCATGGTACCAGTCAAGAATGTTTTTCTGATAGATCACTGGGTATGGTGTGGAAGATGGGCATAAGGAAATCAACATTTGAGGCAAGGAAATCAGTGAAATAGTCCAAGTAAGAAAATAATTTGTATTATTAAAAAATTCCTCAGTATTTACCCAGCTATTAGGGAGGAAATCTATTCTAACCACTGAACTCTTATGATTAAGAGCTCCAATTATAAAGATAAAGTACCTGGATCGAAATCCTCTCATTTACCACTGTGTGAAATTGAACAAGTTACTTAATCTCAAATCTTACCTCAGAAAATTTGAAATGAGTTAATAAGTAGTCATAGACCATCCCTGACACGTAGTAAATATATAACAAATGTTAGTTTTTTCACATTTACACTTCTAGTGTTATATAGCTGGCTTGTTTTAGCTTTATACTTTGCATCTTAAGTATAAAGGGACTATTAAAGGGACTACTCCTTCAAAGCATTCTCCCTAGTTTGTTTTGATTGAGGCAAGAAGTAAAATCTTTATGTCTATAATCTTAGGTAATCTTGGAGGGGTTTATAGGAAGAGATCATCTTCAATCCTTTGTTTGCATTTTCCTACTCCATGAATAATTTTCTGATAACCAGAAGCTACTGGTTTTTGTCTTAGTTTTTAAAATTTCAGGGAACTAATAATATTCCAGATATTGCCCTTGGGATACAGTAACATATTGAACAACTTTTAACCATTTTTTACTTTTCAGGTTTAGGAGGACACTTTTAGGATAATTGACCAGCCTCACAAAATATTAAATTCTTGAAAATTTTAAATGTTAGTACATATGTCTTATGAATAAAATAGATCATTCACTTAAGAATTTAAATCTTTATTGATTGCTTAATTTGTATCAGTACTATGCTAAGTCCTATGGATACAATAATGAGTAAAAGTATAGTCCATACTCTCATACAGTCTTGTTTGTGGACAGATGCTAAATTATTACAAAAATAAATGTGAAATTATAAATCAAAGTGCTATGAAGGTAAATGCATACAGCTATGAAAATTATTTAATAAGACTTGATTTCATGTGGGAATTGAGAGAGGGCATCCTAGAGGAAGTAGAGTTCAGATAAAGAATCAGGCTTACTAAGCGTAAGGGGGTGAGTGGAACGAGGGGCTAGGTAAAAAGACCAGCATGTGCCAAACATTGAGGAAGAAGACATTACTTTTGAGGAACTGAAACACTATTACGACAGCATAACAGACAGGGGCAAGTGGCACTTGCCCATCATGTTCCATTGAATCCATTGGGAAATTTAGTTTTGTATTATGGTATTGTTTTTTATTTTTTAATAAATAATTTATATTTTAAATATATTTTTTATAGTTTTGTTAGCTTCTGTATTCTTAAATACCATTTTTAACAATTTCATTAAGCCTGATAGCCACTACCAATCTTAATTTTAATGATGTCTTTGCTTAGTTTTGTTATAGCTCGTTTTGATTTGATGGATATCTTTTTGTTTTTTTGACGGATAAACTTGCGTAATTCTTTTAGAATGTTTTGAGTCCTTATCTGAAAATGGCTTTACTTTTTGCTTGCACTTCAGTAAATACTGTATTTTACTTGGGAACATTGAAGACATGGCTCCATTGTTTTTTTGTACCTTACATGTAAAAATTATGATGCCAATACCAATTCTTGCTATTTTGCAGTTCTCTACTACTTGTCATTAGAAGTTTCTAGGTTGTTATTTTAAATTCTTTGGAAAACACAGGATTTTTGGATCTTTTTCATTTATCCTGCTTCACATCTATTAGATTCTTTCAGTTTAATGAATTTTATTTTTTGAATCTTTATTCTCTTATTTGATAATTTTCTGCCTTCATGTCTCTTCTTTTGAAATGCAAATTAGATGGATAGTTTGAAATCTTTGTTTCATGAAGGCTTTTAACGATTTTCCTGCTTTTCATCTATACTTTTTCACCTTAGTTCTGAGAATTCTTTTGCTCCTAATTCTGATTTTTAGTCTCCATCCATGTACATTTGAGAATTTTAAGGTTGATAGATACTGATAACTAGCTATAGCCTTTACTCAATGAATACCTTCTAGAAATTCTTTCCTCTTCAAGTCTATTAACAGTCTTCCTAGATTTCCAGTGTTGTTATTATTTGTATTGTTTTCTTCATTTCATTTAAATTTAAAGAAGAAAAAGAATTATGTATATTTAGTTAGCCATTTGAAACCATTTCTTTTGATCAGTAAGTACAAGAATAGGTAATTTTTATGTAATGCCATTAAAGCTACCAAGAAAAATAAAAATGGAGTGTTATATAAGAAAACGAGTAACCACTGGAGACAGATTGCTGAGTTCATATTTTGCTCGTGCCACTTATTTGCTGTATCACCTTGGGAAAATTACTTCTCTGTGCCTCAGTTTTTTGTTTTTGCTTTTTAAAAATAAGAATAATAGGACCTACCTTTTAGAGTTATAGTGAGGAATAAATTAATCCACATAAAGCACTTAAAAGACAATGTGTGGCATACACGGTAATTGTTAGCTGCTATCATCATCAGGAGCAGCAGCAGGACATTTCAGGATTATAAAAGAATAGGTTATGTTTATTGACCAGTAAGTAAACAGCTTTCTTTGAATATACACTTCATACTGGGGAATAGCAGATGAATGTGTTTGATAAGTCATTTGGAGTCAGATCATGGAAGTCTTGTTTTAAATGAGTTATTATTTTATTGAAAACAAACTCAGAAAAGCTACAGAGCATACCCTAAATTGCTAAAGTAAAAGGTTCACCATTTGAACTCCCTTCTGTGTTTCTTTTTACTCTACAGGGCTTCTCAATGAAGGCATTGTTTTAGGAAGATTATTTCAGTAATACCCATAAGGCCTAAGTTTAGGTGATAGCCAACAGTAATTGGTAAGAAATGAATGCAGTTGAACTTAGATGACTTTTCTGCTCCTTTCTAGCTCTAACATGAGTCCATTGACTTTCTTACCCCTCTAGGTTTGTAAAGATCTTTTCATCGTAACATCTACTTTATATATTTTCAGAATTTGAAATGTGTTCTTTCTATACTTTTCTACAGGTTTTAGATGGAGCAGGATTAGATATTGATTTCTATCTTGCTTCTCCAGAAGGAAGAACCTTAGTTTTTGAACAAAGAAAATCAGATGGAGTTCACACGTAAGTAATCTCTTAGTTGATTCCTTGGGCTGGATAATACCAGTGGGCTATCTGCAGGGCATGGAAATTTAGCACAGTTGACACTAAATATCAATATTAAATGATTCCCTATGAACATTTCCAACAGTCCTTGATAATGGTTTATCTTAAACTAAAATATTTTCCTCCATGGCCATGCCACCCTGAACAAGCCTGATCTCACCTGATCTCGGAAGCTAAGCAGGATTGGGCCTGGTTAGTACTTGGATGAGAGACCACCTAAGAAGACCAAGTGCTGTAGATGTAAAAAAAATAAAATAAGGGATTGTAAACTGACAAGGTCCTTGCAATCTGTGAGGTCAACCAAGGGTTTCCTCACCTAAAAAAAAAAAAAAAAAAACTAAAAGATGAGCATTCCCTAGGTATTACGTTCAATCTCTTGTGGCATTTTAAACCTCCCTTTCTGGCTAGCACAGGCCTCCCATTTTATCTATAATTTACTGTTCCAAGTATGTATCCTAAAGTTTCTTGAGCTGCTGGCTATATCATCTTTGCCCATTCTTTTTTTTCTTAGAACAACAGTAATATGTGTGTGTGTAAAAAAATTTTTTTTACTCAGATCTCACTCTTTTTAGACAGTTGTAAGACCTAAACATAAAAGATCTGACCATAGAAAACCATATGGAAAGAAAATACTTGTTATCACACTTTCAAAGTTTGGCAAAAGGCCATATATTCTCTTCTTAATCTAACTTCTCTTTTTTCATCTCTCAATGGTGTTTCTATGTTCCATTCTCTTACTTTACTCTAGCACATTCTTAATTCACTGATGTTATTGTATTAAAACTACATCGTAAGTTAATAGAAAGGAATGAATACAGTGTCTAATATTTGCCATAAACTAGGATTTGCATTTTATATGCTTTTATATTTATTATTCCAACTCACTAAGAGATAGATTCTTTGATTCCCTAATTCCCATTTTACAGACAAGGAATCTTTACAGACAAGGAGGCTCAGAGAAGTTAAATAAGTCTGCAGGGATATACATTTATTAAGAGGAGGAGGCAGGATGAACCAAAATTCTTACTTTCTACCATACGATGCTTAGAACATCCCTGGCACATAGCACTATGTAAGTACTAGCTATTATTTTAATTATTGGTCTTTGTTAACCAAAGTACCTGGCATGTAATTAATAGTAAATATTGAATACATGTATGAATGAATGGGGGGGAAAAATGTCTCCATAATTTTTAAGATATTCATTTCAAAGTGCTTTTTAAAATGGCATTTCACCTATGCAGAGTTCAGAAGATAATATTTGTAATAAACTATTAATAAAATAGAGAAATACATTTTAAAAATCAGTTTAAATTGATATACTTGGGATTAACTATGCTTTCTCTTTGATAGGTTCATGAACAAGAACTAAAAATGTAGTTCAATTTTTAAATTTCAGAATACAGAAAATGTATAGAATTTGTCAATTTTTATTTCTCTCCAATTTTCTGCTTTTCTTTAGAGATAAATTAACTGTTCGGGGTGGGGTGGGGTGGGGTGGGGTGGGAAGGTATCTTATTGTTTAGTGCATAGAATTACCTCCCATTAAAACATTTGAAAACAAAAGTATGTTTATAAGACCTCACATTTATTGAATTATTTTGATGTGCCAGGACACTGTTCTAAGCACTTTACATCTATTAATATATTTTATTCTTCACCACAATCCTATGGGGTACATGATATTATTTTCATTTTACCAATGAAGAAATTGAGGCATAGAGCTATTAAGTACATGAAAGTTACATAGCCAGTGAACAGCAAAGCCAGGATTTAAAACCCAGCAGTCCAGCTCACTCTCAATCACTATACCACATTTACAAATCTATTTTCTAAAAATTAGATTTTAACAAAAATTTTACCTTTAGCTATATTAACTTTCAAAAGCAACTAAAATCTCAGTTATGGCATTGAAATAGTTTCTTTCTTAAATCTGTAAAACAAATACTGTCCGTCCAGAAGTCAGGATTAGTAAAATTTCTTCCAAACAGAGCCTTTTAAAACTTAAGTAATCCCTATTTGTCTAGCACTGCCTGTAATGAGGAGTCATATATAAATGCATTTTTCTAGATAACTGAATTAATAGTACCCTAACTCACACCAGACATTTTGCACTACTTATGCTAACGTTTATTATATTTGAAAGGAAAATTTACTCTATTTTGGATAATATTTTCTTTCATTTGTAATAATAAAATTCCTTTTAAAAGCAGTCAACATTTAGAAATTAATATACGAAGGACTATAAAGTAGTAAACATCTTTTTTTTATACACATGCTGAAGGTTAGATATGAGTCAGTGCTTCTCAAACATTTTTCATTTTTACCCTGGTCTCCATGCAGCCTTTTAAGACACTTTTTTCCTCATCATCTCCCATGAAATTTTAATACTAGATTTAATTCCAGATTTACTATATATACTATGTATACTATATATGCATTGTTGTACTGTGTGTGTCTACATACACATATATACTTTATATATAAAAAGAGATACAAAGCTTACCCTTTTTATCCAATGCAGGGTTAAGAATGGCTAAAGCTGAGTTAAATAAAATTAAAACTAAACAAGATTAAAAGTAAAGAGCTATTAACATTAAATTTAACTTTACATAATAGCCTTTTTTTTTTTTTTCCTTTTAAAATTGTCCCCCACTGTTTGCTTCAGGCTCCTTCCAAAGGTTAAATACATCCTTAAAAGACAGATTTATCATGACTGAGATTGCAAAGCATGCAGTACTGTAGAAAGATTAACTTGAAAATCTAAGTAGTTATCTGTTTAAACAAAAATAATAAGTTGGAAATAGGGAGAAAAAAGACAGATTGGCTTAAAAGATGAGCATCACATGTTGTATTGAGAATGCTACAGAAAATAATACAAAGCACCTCAAAATTTTAGCAATCCAGCATACCGGAGATAAGAAAATTTTAAAATCATTTAGACTAACCTTCCATGAATAGTCCCTGTGAAAAGTAAAACATTTTGAACTGTGTGGCTAGCAGTAATAAATGTTATTAACCTGTGTAATATTTTGCTTGTTCACAGTTCTCTGCAAAAAAATTATTAGAAAACTACTTGGCTAAATTAACTCTGCCCAGGCTAGTTATCTTGAATATGAAATGTGAAACCAAGATCATAAGTTTAGATGTGAGTGGCATTTATTCAATAAAGGCAGTGCCACTGAGAGTAAAGCTCTGGTTGTTGGCTACTGTGAACCGTATTACAAAGATGTACTTAATTGGTATAGGCCTGGAAGGAAGCATTTAGGAAAATCCATCACTGCTTTAAAAACCAAAACTCACTTTACAGATTAATCTCAATTCTTGAAGGGGGAGGATCATAAGTCATATCTGCATATGAACTCATGATAAATTACTTTTAATAACATAAATTTTGAAGTTCATTGTGAAGTATCATGTATCTAGGTTTTTAATTCTAGTCTTTTCTAAAAATTAGGTCAAGATCATTTACCATAATTTACTGAGTAAATAATAAGCACATCTAAATTTCAAGTACTTGAATATATTTCTAGGTTGCCTCTTCCCCAAGAAATTAGATTATCTTTAAATACTAAGGAAATCTGTCAGTAACCTGTCCAATTATTATAAATCATGTTATTTTATATATCTGTAATGGTTTTCCCTTTGGTCCCAAATAGAAGTACAGATAAATGATGACATGTCCTTTTTTTTAATACAGGGTAGAAACTGAATTTGGTGACTACATGTTCTGCTTTGATAATACATTCAGCACCATTTCTGAGAAGGTGATTTTCTTTGAATTAATCCTGGATAATATGGGAGAACAGGAACAAGAACAAGAGGACTGGAAGAAATATATTACTGGCACAGATATATTGGATATGAAACTAGAAGACATCCTGGTCAGTATGGGCTTTTAATAAAATAATAAAAATTATTAACATCCAGAGTCCTTACTCTGATAGGCACTGAGCTAAGTATTTTACCTGCATTATCTCATGTAATTTTTACTTAACTCTATGAGGATTATCTATCTTCCCAATGAGGAAATTGCAGTTTAGGGAGATGAGGTAATATTTCTGTTAAACAACCAGAGAGGGAGAACTAGAATTTGAACACAGGCTCTTAAACTACAAAACTCCCTTAGAATGTTCACTAATAAAAGAATGTAATCTGTAGCATACTTGCACATAGAATAAAATTGAGTAATGTGTAAACACTTAAAATGTACAGAAATTTTTCTCACAGCATAGTTTTTATAACATGAAATTTGATACTTGATTAATTTGGGAACATTATTTACATTACTTACACCAGACCTAGCATTCATCAGAAACTAACACTAAACTCAGAAGTGAAAACTCTGAATATGGCTTCTTTGCTTGAATTGCTTTATACTTTATCATAAACATGCTTTATACTTTATCATAAACATGATAAAGTATATCATGAAATATGCATGTATAAGAACCTATTTGCTAATAATAGCACTACTAGTGCTGGGGGGAAAGGTTATAACCCTTCAACTAAAGCTAGATGTTATTAATATAAGTTAGTTATATTTACAAATAGCTGCAGGAGAAATAACATGGTTATTGCAAGTTTGAAAGAGTATATCCTCCAATACCTGAACTTTTTTGTGTTTTGACCATTCCAGGTTTCTTAGTAAAGGAACTATCAAATTATAGCAGAAGAGACATATTATAGATCAGTTAGATTAAGAAGTTAGAGTACAAAATGATCATATCATATGCATAATTCCTTGGTGACTGAGCTCTCCAAGCCTTGCTTTCCTAATACTGCAAAATGGGGTAATACCTCTAGAGTTGTGACAATGAAATGTGATATAGCATATGTCTAAGTGCTTTAAACAGTGTCTGGCACACAATGTTAGTTTTCTTACCTTTTCCACTGGTGTTACTGTGAATACAAACTGAAAGATTAAGTTTGATTGGCATGAATTTTTACCATGACAGTTTTTGATCTTACCATGATTTCATATGTGCATTCAACTTAGTTGAATTTTAGAAAAGAAAGATGACTTAGTTATTACTAGTCTAGCTCCAGCCTCCCTCCTTTTCCCCTTTCATGCCATTTAATAAGGAAACCAGCTCAAAATTAAAATGGAAATGATGTACCCATATAGTTCCACTACTAGTCTTCTTCTCATCCAGATTTAAATATGGCTTAAAATACTTATAAATCTAAGAAAAATAAAATGTCTTTCAGGAACTTTTCCATTTACTTCCCCAAAATTTGTATCACAATAGCAAACTTGAAATTTGACTATCACATCATTGTGATATCTAGAAGAACTATGCATATGCTCTTTTTACTTGAGGATATGAATCTCATATTTTTCTGGAAAATATTTGCATTGCTTTGCAAATATGCTCATGTGATATTACATTTTATAGTTTTTTTAGGTTTAGCCCAGCAGTCTGAAATTTTGAGTATATTTTTTGGATTTTAAGCAAAATGACTCCAGGAAAATGTTTCTAGTATTTTCTTATTTTTGCCATAAATGTTTTGACATCATTTCAGGTCTCAACTTAGTTTGACCTTATGTTCATGTAGTCTATAGTTTTTAAGTCATTTCTGATCAGGTCCATACTCTAAGTTTTTTAGAAGATGTGCAACTTAGACTGCCTCTTGGTAAGTTTAATGAATGTTATCTTGGCACACGTTTGTATTAAAAGGTTATTCTTTTTGGTGTACAGTATGTACATCTAAAGTTGAAATATTTTCTAATTTCACTACTTTGTCAGATAAAAACATGGGTGTTTTGCTAAATTCTAAAGTGGACCAGACTAACATTCAACAAAGAAAATATTAACACACAATTCATTATATAAAGGTAAATACCTAAAAGCTCTTATCAATTAGTTTTAAAACTTAGTCATTTTTTTATAGTTTCAAGAGCTAAGAGATAATGTATGTAAAATTCCTGGCACTATACCAGTCAAATATATTTTCATATTATTTTCAATTAACGGTAGCTTTGCTTCTTTGTTAAATAACTTAACAATAATTTAAATATATCCAGGACTATTACATAACTTTACAGAAGATCTTTTGGTAATCTAAGTAGTATCTGTCCCTTAATTAACCTTGTGTTTGGATGTAAAATTGAGTATCAGGGTACTGTGAAACACGTTCTAAAATTAAAATTAGTGAGCATTCTTTTATAGTAAAATTATTTTGTTTGTCTCCAGGAATCTATCAACAGTATCAAGTCGAGACTAAGCAAAAGTGGTCATATCCAAACTATGCTTAGAGCATTTGAAGCTCGTGATCGAAACATACAAGAAAGCAACTTCGATACAGTGAATTTCTGGTCTATGGTTAACTTAGTGGTAATGGTGGTGGTGTCAGCCGTTCAAGTTTATATGCTGAAGAGTCTATTTGAAGATAAGAGGAAAAGTAGAACTTAAAACTCAAAATTAGACTAACATTGAAAGAGAAAGAAAAATGCAATAAACTGTTACAGTCAAGACCATTAATAGTCTTTTCCAAAATGTTTTCAGTCATCACCATGTGAAACAAGTATAGTTTTAATGTGAAAGATTTCACTGTGCATAATTTTATTGCTGCAGTTGTACTTCAGTGTATAACAGATATTGTGCAGAGTATAGGTATAATTGAATGAAGCCATATTAATAATGGCATTTTCCAAAGTTTAAAAAAAATTGCAAATGTCACAGGTGATTTAAATAAATGAACTTTGAGCCTAAGTGCAACACCGAATAATATTTTTAAAAGATTCTCTTACCTGGAAGTTTCTTTGTTAATGTGGCAAATTACAATTGTAGAAGTTTCAATATATTAAGTTATAAATCATCTGAGATTTACCTAATCATGGATTGAATATCTTTATAAGACAAAGACTCAACTTTTCTGTTTTTACATATGCGTCTCTCCTATAATAGAAAAACAGATTTGTGAGACTTTTATAACCAAATATATTTCAATTTAAAATATTAGCAAAAAGTATGTTTTATATACTTATCCTACATTCTCAAAGACTTATTTTGATTAAAAATACTTATTAAAATTAGGACAAATTTTCTCTTTAAAGTGAAGAATAAATAGCTAAAGGTTGCTCATTCTTAAGGATATATTGTCTAATCCTTAACTGAGATATAGGATTTTAAAATTAAATGTGAGGGAAATAATTTTATTTTCATGTTATTTGTTAACAGTGTTATGTTAATTTTAACATGCTTATTGACTTGGATAGTACATTATTACCAGCAATTGTGAAGGAAATATTGCTAAAAGGATCTGGGCCTAATAAATATCTCTCCTTTTCTGGGTTCTCAAAATCAGAAAAATAATAAAAAATAAATTGTGAAGGAAATATTGCTAAAAGGATCTGGGCCTAATAAATATCTCCTTTTCTGGGTTCTCAAAATCAGTAAAAAATAATAAAATCAATAAAAAAGAATTTAGGTAAGTTTGAGACTATCTGATCAAAATAAAGTTCACTTAAATAAACTCTAAAGTATATGGAATCTGATTGGCTCAACATAATGATCCAATACTAATACATATCATGCAATAATTTCCAGTCAAGTGGAAGAAACATTACTTGGCTATTTTATTTTTTACAACTGTTTTATTGTTTCAAATTGTCTTTTATAAGTATTCAGGTACACTTTATGAAACATAAGCCCTACTGTAAGGTTTAGCACTGGGTACACATTATGTATTCCCATTTTTATTATAACTAACTTTTCTGATCATTTTATTGACATTCATATAAGGATTGGAAAACCACAGAATCTCAAGTTTAAATACTCCATATGAATAACTGTAAAGTCTGTGCCATCCTAGTTTACTGCAATTTGTGGTCTTACTCAAATACTAGTAATTTAGCTACATCATAAATTCAGTAGAATTTTAGGTTATACCCATATGTAATATTATGACAAATGAGTTAGAAACAATCAACTTATAAGCTTGAGTATAGAACCCCTCTGTAGGTTAGTACTGCTAGAATTCTTAAGCAATAGTTGATATCCAGAATGGTTTCATTTATAATTTACACTCAGAAATGGTACAAAGAGATTTATTTCCCTCTTTATGACCTTGCGAAAACAGAAACTTAGATTTCCCTACTCTGAAGCTTTTTCAAAATGAGATAAACGTCATTTACCTTCATTGGCCAAGAAAGTGCTTTATGTGTCCAGGAGTAGCCCTTGTTAACACATGCAAAACTCGGGCCCATAAGATCGTTGTCTCTGAAGAGCCCTCCCTTTTCTCCTTTGTCTTAACCTCATAATGAAAAGTACACTTCTAGTACTCTAATAAAACAATACAAATATAAACTACTGCATCTTTTCTATAAAACTGTGATTAAAAATTCTACCTCTTATATATGTCTAGTTACCGCACTGTAATGATTCTTTACCTAACAATTTGTTACATCATCTTTTACATATGATTTGTGCCTCCAATGTTAAACCTATGATTCAGTAACTTCTTAGACTATAATAGCCTTATTTGGAAAACAAAGAATTTAGGAATACTTAGGACGATTTTAATTTTTATAGACAAAGTGATTATTTAGGAAGCATGTTACCTGTATTAACCAAAAAAAAAAAGTAAAACTTGTAAGGACTAAATTCTTTAATATTTCTAAAGATGTATTATCTGCCTTGTGATTTTTTTTAATGTCAGTATTCAATTTCAAAAATAAAATTATGCTAAAATTGAGTAAGCTATTTATCACTTAACTGATTTTTGTCTTTCGTTTTTAAGGCCTACAATTTTGCTCTGATTTGCATTTGGATCATTAATGATATGCATATTTTTTCATAGGACTGTCAAGAGAGGGTAAATATGTGGTTGAAATAGCATTGAAATAAATTACAAATTCAAATGTAATTTTATCTTTCTTAAGCATTGTTATTGTGTCTTAAAATTGACAATGAGTACTTATAATTCTGTGCCTCCCCAAATGAAAATTCTTTACCTGGAATTTTAAAAGAAATTGATTCACCATGTTTTTCATCTGAAGTATAATGCACAGTTTTGCTCAAACTGCTTTATAGTTGTGAACAGCCATATTAAATGAGCAATGAATACTGTACTTAGTATATATAAAATAAAATTTTTAAAATCTAACTTATCTACCAGTCATTTAAATGCTGTCTAATCTTTAAAAGTCTTCATTGATCTTAGCTAAGTGTATTCTCCCTTCCATTTGAAAACTCACAGTCCTCTGCACTTTTTATCATATATTAATCATTCTAGGTCGCATTGGAGTACTGTTTATATGTGTATTTATTCATCTATTGCCCAAACATGCATTGTAACAGATTATCAGTTCTGAAAGTTTGGAATGGTAAATAAGCCCCCAGGGAGCTTGTTCCACTCCCTCCACCCAACTCCAGGCATTAATTCATTAGGTCTGGAATATGGCTCCAAATCTTAAATTAACCAACCCAATTTGTGATTCTGCTATCCATCATCCTTAGACCATTCATTAACTGAGTGATCTTGGGAAATCAAAACTCCACTAAGCCTATTCATTTGTAGAAATAATCATAAGTAACATCTTAAAACTTAGTTAAAATAAATAGCATATAAGAGAGTCTAATATTTGGGGGAGGTTGGTAAAGTATTGGGCATTTCCTTCATACCATCTCAACAAGCTAGTAGAATTCCTAAGGCACCTTTCTGCTTCTACACTCCCATCACTTGCAGGTGCTTGGGTGTCTAGAAGGCTTGTGTCATTAGAAACTGGAGTCACACTACGCTTAATGTATGTACATCTGGGGAAAGGGCAGAGAATAAAGAATCCAGACCTAAGATGATATATGAGAGAGGGCACTTTGAGATGATGGACTCTGGATCCCTGAACCTGAAAGAGAAAGGCAAGAAAATGAAGGGCAGGGAAAAAATTTGGAGGTCTTCAATGACCATGAGTCAACAGCAAAATGAACAATGAGAAAGTTACCTAATACTGAAATGAACTTCCTTATATATAAGACTACGCCCCAATCCTGGAAGTTCTCAAGTGGCAATAATGATCACGTGTTATAAAAAAGGATTATTTCTACATCTGATATTGAGTGGGAGGATAGACTAATAAACCTAAAAGGACTAGTAATGCCATTTGTAGGAGAAAGCTGAAAGAAAAGGCCAGAGCTTTAAAAAACACATTTTAGAGTTCCAATGCTAGATTCTTGCCTGATATTAAAAAACACATTGAAAATGAAATTAAAAACATTTAAAATCATTCCAAAGAAAATGACACACTAAGGTATAAATCTAACACAACATGTACAGGATCTGTATGCTAAAAATTATCAAATGCTTGTCAAAGACCTAAATAAATGGTGAAACCATGTCCATAGATTGGGAGTATAAAATAGTAAAAAGGTCAATTCTTTCTAAATTAATCTATAAATTTAACATAATTCCTATCAAAATCCAGCAAGGCTTGTTTTTGTAGAGACAAGTTTATTATAAAAATTTATTCTAAAAGGCAAAGGACAAAGAATAGCTAAGACATTTTGAAAAAGAAGAAAGTCTACTTAAGGCTTACTAGGTATTGGTGGAGGAATAGACACACAGATTAATGGAACAGATTCTAGAAATACACCAAAACAAGTCCAACTGATTTTTGACAAAGGTGCAAGAGCAATTCAAAACAGAAAAGTCAGATTTTTAAAGAAATAATGCTGGAGAGATTGGGGCAAACATAGATAAAAACATGAACTTAAATGTAAAAAAACCATAAAGCTTTTCAAAACAATAGGAGGAAATCTTCAAGACCTAGGGCTAAAAAGTTTTCATACTTGAAACCAAATATATGACCCATTAAGAGAAAAATTAATAAAGTGAACCTCATCAAAAGCAAAAATTTTTGCCCTGTTAAAAGGAGGAAAAAATAAGCTACAGATGGGGAAAAATATATATATAAATCACATATCCAAAAAAATTAGAATATAGAAAGAATTCTCAAAGCTCGACAGTAGAAAAAACAATACAATTAGAAATGGGCAAACGATATGAACAGACATTTTACTGAAGAAGTTACAACACGAAATACTAGCAAGGATGCAAGAGAAATTTAGTCACTCATGCATTGCCAGTGGGATATAAAATGGTAGTCACTCTGGAAAATATTTTGGCAGTTTCTTATAAAACTAAACATGCACTTACCGTTCAACCCAGCATTTATATTCTTGGACAATTATTCCTGAGAGATGAAAACTTATGTTCAAATAAAAACCTGTACACAAATTATACAAAGCAGCTTAATTTGTAATAGCTCAAAGCTGGAAATAACTCAAAATGTCCTTCAAAGATTCAATGGCTAAAGTTAAGTACATCATCCATGGAATACTATGCAGCAATGAAACTATTGATACGTGCAACAATTTGGATAGACTTCAAGGGAATTATGATCAGTGGTAAAAAACAAACTTAAAAGGTTACACAATGTATGACTCCTCTTATGTAACATTCGTGAAATAACGAAATTATAGAGAACAGATTAGTAGTTGCCAGGTGTTAGGAATGGAGAGAAGGAAATGTGGCTATAAAGGCAGTCTTGTAGTAGAATGATTCATTCTTAATTATGGTAGTTACATAAGTCTATGTATAAAATTATACAGAACTATATACACACACACAAAGGAGTGCTTATAAAATTAGTGAAACCTGAATAAACTCTGGATTGTACCATGTCAATTTTCTGGACTCCATATTGTACTAATATGCAAGATGTTAACATTGGAGGAAACTGTGAAGAGTACACCAAGACTCTCTGTACATTTTTTTTGGTGACTTCTTGTGAGTCTATAATTTTTAAAATAAAAATTCAAACAAAAATGAGACAGATGA